TATATATATATTTTTTTTTACTGTCAGGGGCTCTGTTAAATATAAGGGATCTAAACAGATCACTGATTTTTTCCTTTTAAAATAGAACAAGAGATTGAGTCTTTAATCACTTTTTCTGCAGCTTCTCTTTTGAATGAACAGGAATCCCCTATCAATTCCTGTTCATTCATAACTTGTGGAGATTTATCAAAACTGGAGCAGACAAAATCTAGAGCATTTGACCATGGCAACCAATCAGCTTCTCTCTTGAGTCTGTTCGGTTAAGATATTTTTTGTCTGCTCCAGTTTTGATAATTTGTCCTCAATTATTTGCCAGCAGTCAGCGATCAGCTGATCGCTGACTGCTGGTACTCTGCTCTCCAGCCTGACTCTCTGTCACAGGAGGCTGAGCCAGTGGTGTGGAGAGGAGAGCTCGGTCTATTTTGACAGGTGACTCCTCCACCGCACCTCCGGCTCAGCCTCCTGTGACATCTGACAGCTGTCTCTGCCCCCACACCGTTTTTCATCGTGATCTCTTAACTACTTCAAGACCAGGTGTTTAGACCCCCTTCCTGGCCAGGCCATTTTTTAGTGTTCAGCGCTGCAGTACTTTTATTTTTTACTATATGAAGGAGAAATTTTTGGGAAAAAAATGTTTTTTTCCATTATGTTAGGAAACAATGATTATTACCCAAATGTTTGGTAAAATATAAAAGACGGGGTCACGTCGGGTAAATAGACACGAAACATGTCATGCTTTTAAATTGTGCGCACCCGCTACCATACCCAAAATTGACCATAGGCGACGCTTTAAAAACGTTTACCGCTAGGAACTTAAATTTTTTTTTCCTATTTTTTTTTCACTTAACTGTATTGCTATCACATAGGGGAGTTAGAAAACCCCCTTATGTGATAGCAAAATATGTGACAGGTCCTCTTTATGGAGACATCAGGGGTCTCCAAGACCCCTAATGTCACCTAGGACCCCCCAAGGAGGCTGATCGGGGCGGAGCAGAGCTCAACCTCCTGAGACATCGTGACTTACAGCGCTCTCCTCCCCCTCCCACTAGGCCACCCAAACGTTTCTCTCCTCTCTGCTGGACGCTGCACTGTGCCAGAGGGGACATAGAGCAGTGCTGAGAGGGGAAGTGAGAAATCAGGAATGCACCGCAATTTTGGCTAAAAGGTGGTACATTCAGCATTTTGCCAAAAGTGACATTTTCGTCCGATATGTTTTGGTGGACGAAATTTTGGTGCATCTCTAATAAAAAATCACTTAGGGGTGAGTACACCCCTAAGTGAAAATCCAAATTGGGCCCAATTAGCCATTTTCCCTCCCCGTGTCATGTGACTCGTTAGTGTTACAAGGTCTCAGGTGTGAATGGGGCGCAGGTGTGTTAAATTTGGTGTTATCGCTCTCACTCTCTCATACTGGTCACTTTTGTTGCCAGCGGTTTAGACATTAATGGCTGATAATTAAAATTGTTTTGTAAAACAGTATCCGTAGCATACTATCAGACTTTAGATGTTTTCAACCTAGAGAAAATGTCTTCATTACTAATCCATCTGTCTGTTCTTCTTTTTAGCATGGCATCTGTGGTTGCTAGCACAGTAACTGCATCAATTGAGTTTAAAAAAGGAACATTTTCTATATGGCCAGAGTGGAATGAAGCAGATGTAAACTTTGAGAAATGGGATGCAGGAAAAGCCAGTAAAGAGAAGGAGAAAGCTGGAAAAAGTCCAGCACTTGTAAGTACCGTATGAAAAACACTATCAGCTATAATTCACGTGTACTGATTGATTATGTGTAATGATTAAGTTCTTAACTACTGTCTGCGTCATCATAGCTAAAATAATTTAAAGAGATCTGCAAAGCCTGGCCCTAAGATGCTCATGGGTAACCTTTGTATAAAGAGATTAAATATTAATACAATTAGCCTACATGCATTGGGCTTTTATTGTGCTACAGAGATACATTGCATATTAGAGGTACATTGTTGTAAAAAAAGCATTATTTTCCTTTATTATAAT